AGGCAAAGGGGGGGGGGGGCGTACACCCTCCGTGGATCCGCCTGTTTGAGGAGCTCGCAATATTTTGCATGCACCGCATGTTCACACAGGAATAATACAGTAAAGAAATTCTTATGTTGCCGAATTTCCCACGGAAAATGTGAATTTTTTAGGAAAATTATGAACACTTTCCCTTGAAATGCAGATACTCTAGATTAAATTACAAGTAATATCCTTTGAAAAATAATCGGGAAAATATCCGCAAGTTTCCCTGAAAAACCATAATTTATCCTGTAGAATTCGGCAGTGGCGTGGCGTGACTTGCGATGTATCGATTGCTATACCATTTAAACCTGTGGTAAAGAGTCGATTATTAAGGTGTTCGCTGCGAACATATCCTGTTTATCGATCCTTTTCCATAGGTTTAAATGGTATATCAATCGATACATCGCAAGTCACGCCACGCCACTGCCGAATTCCACAGGATAAATTATGGTTTTTCAGGGAAACTTGCGGATATTTTCCCGATTATTTTTCAAAAAGAATATTGCTTGTAATTTAATCTAGAGTATCTGCGTTTCAAGGGAAAGTGTTCATAATTTTCCTAAAAAATTCATATTTTCCGTGCATGGGAAATTCGGCAACATAAGAATTTTCATACTGTATTATTCCTGTGTGAACATGCGGTGCATGCAAAATATTGCAGGCTCCTCAAACAGGCGGATCCATGGAGGGTGCGGATCCAAAGCACGCGACGCGCGACGCCACTGGTGCAACGTAGAGTCCTTTTATACTGAGAGTCAAGACAATGCGAATCCATTTCTGATTGGTTAATCGGATTTTAGGCCTTCACAGTGTCACAAACGGGAATAAAGATTACATTTTCACCAATTGCGAAGATTATAATCTGGAATGGACCGAGGAATTTCGGGTTCGACAAGGAACAAACGGAATGAAAGAAGGAACGGAGAAAGGAATTTAAGAATGAGCAGATCAAAGATTACGAAAAACGTTCAATTTCTGTAATCTTTATTCCTGTTTGTGACTCCATAAGGGGTGTTGTCTTGACTCTCAGTATAAAGGGACTCTAGTGCAACGTTGGCAGGTTGTTCCAGAAAATACGGCAACATTGCCCTCAGATGAGGAGGAAGTCGGACTGCGCGGCGTTGCGGGAGATTTTCTCGCGGGGAGGCTCTTCCTTTTTCCTGAAATAATGGTCTGTGTGCTCCAAGAAGTCCCCGACGAAGGGTAGCAACTGAGCCTGATCGAATTGTTTCTGGGAGGCCAGTTCGCTTTGCTGAGTCCTCTTCGGTTTCGCAGTCTCGAATGCGTCCTCGAATTGCGTACCGTACTCATCATCTTGGTCTTGCTGTTCTTGAAGCAGCTTTTCTAGCTCCCTGGTTTGCCGCTCTGCCTCGCTTTCGCCTGGTTTCATCGGGCACGCTCCTTCATCGAGTTCGGGCCGCTTGTTCTCCAGGTCCCGAAGCCGCTGCTGCTCCCGAAGCCTGGACAGAGACAGAAAGTTTCATGAAAATTGCTGGCCTAGTACCACGGATTGTAAAAATGGTGGATTTCGACCGCATTAAGCAGAAAGGAACCAAGCCACATCAGATATTGCCAAATTTAATTGGGAAATGTAATTTTATACTTGAAAACTGTTCTGCGGATGTTTGTGCAAATTTCAGTGAATTTACTGTTTGGTACAAAGTAAATTCCTTAAAATTTTCGAAGGAGTCCGCACAAACGTTTTTTTGTCAAATATTAAATTGCTCGGTTAAAGTTGGCAATAGCTGATGTGGCTTGGTCCCTTTCTGCTTAACGCGGTCCAATTATCGCTACCGTATCGGAGTGTTGTGTATTTTGCTTATTCGTCATGTGAAGGGGCCCATTATTTCTGAAATTCATTAAAATACTTACGATTGAAATAAGTTGCATTTTTCTTTCTTTCTTTCTTTTTTTTCCAGTGAAAGTTGCCACCTTTCTCAAATACTGATGTCCGAAGTGCGGAACCACGTATCTCCTTTCCGGTGTTTAAAAATCTCTGCTTTTATTTCATTTTTTAGTAGAATAAAAAAGCCAGCATTGTAGCTTAAAATGCATACGGAATTTTCCTACGATAACGAAGGAAAAGCAAGGGAGTTCTCAAGAAATTACGTTAGCTAGTTTTCCGAAGAAAAAATAAAGTATGACAGGAAGTCTGTATAGCGTTGCAAACGGAGATACGTGGTTTCACGCTTAAGCCATCAATGTGGCGGGATCTATTTCATTGATCGTTCAAAATCGACACTCGTGAACCAAATGGTGTAAAAACATTGTAATTTCATGGTAAAGAAATAAAAATAAGTCCAGTTTGATCGCATTAAATTGCAAGATTATTTCAATATTTTTTGTTCCACTTAGCTACTTAGGTGCGAAAGGGTGTGTCGGCGATTGCGATGAAATACGATTTCATCGCATAAATTTGCGATAAAGTTGCGACTTAATCGACAGTGATTTATCCCAATATGATCAAACAAAAAATCGTGACAAATTGAGATAAAATTCCGACTTTATGGAACAGAATTTTAGAGAGATAAAAATGCGACAAGATCGAGGATAACCACTCAGATTTTGATGATCCTATAGCGAAATTATCGCCAAAAAATCGTGTAAAAATCGCGACTTAATTTCCAAATTTCGCAACTTAATTTCCAAATATCGCGATTTTTCCGTTGAAAAATGCTACTCGGGAGATAAGTAGTAAAACCATCTACCTGGCATCTTCGACAAGAGCTTGCTGTTCTGGGTCCAAGTACTGGTCACCGGGGTAGTTCTTAGGATCATCACGATCAAGCTCTTGTTGCTTCTTGGGGTCCTTTATCGCCTGTACAGCAGGGTCATCTTTCTCATCATCATCATCATCATCGTCCTCTTTATCCTTGCCATCATCATCGTCGTCATCATCGTCATCATCATCGTCGTCGTCCTTCCTCTTCTTCTTCTTGCCCGATGACGACTTCTTGCCCCCGGATTTGGACTTCCTGGTCGGTCGTCGGCCGCGCCTGAAGCGTTTTATAACTTGCGGTGCTCTTCGGACCGCTCTGAGAAGCCGCCTCTCGGCAGCTGTCCGGGCTGACGGTCGCTTCCGGAGGATGGCCCTGAGGCGGGCCTCCAGGTACGCCAACCGCCTCCGCGCTTGCTCGCAGGCGGTCCCCCGGTTCCGCGCCGAGATCGCGGGGTTCGTGATGCATCTGCACCTGCTCTTCCTGCAGGCGCCGTAGGCGCTCCGCCCGAACTGGAATACGCAGAACCGATGGCATAGCGCCTTTTGTATCTTGCAGTTTGCTCTCCTTACAAAGACACCTGTAGCGCAACAAAAAATGAAGTGTCATAAAGTAAATGAAAAACTAAAAAAAAGAAAAAGAAGAAGAAAATACTGAATATGGCCTAAGCTGACTGAGGAAAATGAAAATAGCTGGAAACAACCCAAAATAGTCAAAAAACAGTCGACGGAATCTAGAAGCTGCTGGTGGTTGCCGCCTTCAGAAGGAAGGGGGGACCGCGTCTGTAGAAGGACATTAAAATTTCCCAATATAGTGTTGTTAGAGCTTTCAGAGGAAGGGGGAAGGGAGGGGGAAGGGAGAAGGGAG